TCTCCATTCTTCAGGAAAGAGGAAATTTAATCCTGTGATATAAATGTTTCTGATAAATGTACCAAAAAAAGAAAGTAGAAGCAATAGCCAGAAAGGAAATACTAAAATCAGCTGCTTCTCTCAATTTTGCGTGCACTAAATCATAAACTGAATGATGTTATGTTTTTTACAAGATGGGAGCCCAACACTTAGAATTGAAACTGCTTCCAAAGTACGTCACAGCACCATCCTCCCTCCTTTGTCTAAAGGAAGGCAAGGACACTGAAAAAGTATTCCACTCTAAACGAGTAAGGACTCTCTAAACACAGGATAAGAAAAATGCACTTTGGTTGACCGAAGAAACTTTCAGTACCCAGAGAGCTTAATAATATCTTTGAAGAGCAAGTCAGGTCACTTCTCAACTGAAGTTAACATACTAAAAATTCTGATGCATCACATTTTGCACATCTGAGTAGCTGAGGACATTGGCATTCTCAGAAATATTTGGTAAAATGGACTAGAGATTAGCTTAGCGTGAATTAAAACATACTTTCAAAGTGAAGATCACTTAATTGCATGCAGACTCTAAAAAACCTTTTTTTGCTTCAAGTCCTGGACCTACTCTGGGAGTTTAATTGATTTCTGATGAAACTAGCTTTGAGGAGTCATTTCAGAGATGCTAGCAGTATCAGCACTACCAGTGAGACAAAGCAAAACTTACCGTTCATCAGAGTAAGAGCAAGCTCTGAAGCAAACTATTTTAGCCAGTGAAGCACCAGTAAAGCAATATAAACAAGCAGTTAGCGCCTTATTGCCAGATGCCAAAAAAAGGCTGAAAAACAAACTACAGCAGTGATACTGAGGTTTCATTTTCCAGTTGTCTTGTGTTTCACAAGTGAGCTTGTGAATGCTGCTATGAAGTTTCGCGTCACCATATCTAGGATCACACACCACTGAAAATGTCTTTTTCGCTACTGTTTGTCTTGGACAGAATGGACCTCCTATAAGTGAGTACGGCACAAGGACTTGATCTCATTATTTCTAGATACTTTTGACTCAAAAGACACAGACGACATGAGGTTTCTCCTTTCTTGAAGGACGGCTTTTCAAGTGAGCACAAACCAAGGAAGAATAAACTGAACAGAATATATTCCACACTGAGAAGACAACTAGAAAACTAGGAAAGTGGGCCCTTATCTTCCTGGGAAATGAGCAAGGGATTTCCCCCCACCATCTGTTCACCTGAACATGCATACCAGTATTTGTTTTCTGTTTATTCCAGTGGACAGCACTAGTTCATAAACTATTCTGCCAAGTATAATTCTGAACTGCTCATCAGCAACATAGAAGAATGATTACAACGAAAAAAAATGATGATCCTGAAAAGCACACAGACCTATATTAGGAGCTAAACTACTCCTTGAAATACCTGGAATTTCTCCAGTTATGCAGTACATAAAGCTGGTAAATCACCCTAGGTGCCTTCCAAAGGGAAAGTTTTAGAAAGCTCTAATAGCAGAGAATTTGCCTAGAAGGCTGCAATTGGTTCAAATTACAAAGCTACTGTTCTTGACGTTGGCCTTTCTTGCTACTGAGGCTACTAGTGGTGATCCAGGTGGCTTGCAAAGGAGCCAAGCTGAGTGGGATAAAATTGCAAGGGTCAAAGGCTAAAAACACCATGAAGACAAAATAATCCCTTTCAAAGACTTACTGAATAGCAAAGAGCACCTGTTAAGAAAGAGGCTTGCACATGTTCAAGCCTATCAAGATGGAAAGCCTTTCAGCTACTCATGCAGCTTTAAAAAATTTTAAAAATTGTAACCGAGACTAAATCAGCTTATATCAACTGTGAGAGAAAAAAAAAAAAAACAACTATCAACCTAGTCTAGCCCAGTAACACTCCAGGAAGTTACAGGTAAAAAAGGAAATGTTTATGGTATTCTGAGTAGAATGATTTTTAATTTCCCACTTTTGACTTGGTTGGTCACAATCCTCATCGAAGTGAACATTTCTACTTTCAAGAAACAGACACCTTTGCTTAACTTAATTCCAAAAAAAAAAAAAAAAAAAGTCACCCCATTACTAAACTGTAGATAAGCATATGCAAGAAAGTCTTCTAATTTAACATGAGTCCAGAGGGCACACACCTTCATAAAGCAAAAGTCCCCAAAATTTCCCAATTTTAAACACAAGTTTTGTACAAACTATTTTCCTGCTCTGTTCACAGAAGCTCTTTTTGTTTGGTATAATTCAACACTAGGGGAGGCCAAGTAAAAGAAAGAAATCAGTGCGATAATATAAAATGAAAAGTCATGCTTTATGATACAGGGGTGGGAGTTTGCAAAGGCGATATCAGGGGAGAGCACATGACGAACAGCTTTCAAAAATGGTGCACCTTCTACGTTAATCTCCCTGCAAAGAAACACTGGAACACCAATGGTAGGCAAGGGGACAATAAACCTGGTCTAAATGAAAGACAGGGTGAAAAACATTTTTGTAAAGTGCCTAAAAAAACCACTCATGCATCAAGCTATAACATGCCATAACTCAATGCTGGTATTACTGAACAAAGGAAAAACAAACTTGTTCAAATGCAATCTCTTAATTATGCATCTAAAGGGTCCAAATACCATGTTTTTAATTTGCAAGTAGTGTTAATTGCCACCTCTAGAAATAAGTCAAATTTACAAGGAGAATGAAAAATGTTCCCTTATATGCCAGGCTCAGGGTTGTGATCAGAGGCATAAAGTCCAGTTGGAGAACAGTCAATACTGGTGTTACCTCAGGGGTCAATACCACAACCAATTTTCACTAACTGTCTGGATGATGGGAGAGTGACACTCAGCAAGTTTGCAAATGATAAAAAAAACTAGGAAGAGTGGCTGATACACAAGATGGTTTTGTTGTCTTTCAGGGGAACCATGGCAGGCTGGAGAAACGGGCAGAGAGGAACCTCACAAAGTTCAAAGGTAAATGCAAAGTCCTGCACATACGGTACAATATCCCTATACACCAATACAGGCTGGGAACTGACCGGCCGGAAAGCAGCTCGGCAGAGAAGGACCTGGGGGTCCTGGTGGACAATAAGTTAACATCAGCCAGCAACATACCCTCACAATAAAGGCCAACAGAAGAGCGGCCTAGATTGCATTAGGAAGAGTGTCACCAGCAGGTTAAGGGAGGTGATCCTTCCCCTCTAACTCAGCACGCGTGAGGTCCCATCCAGAGTACTGTGTACTTCTGTACAGAGAACCTCTGGGCTCCTCTGTACAAAAAAGACAGACATATACTGGAGTGAATCCAACAAAGGGCCACAAACATGACCAAGGGATTGGAGCATCTCTCACACAAGGACAGAGAGAGAACTGGGATTGTTTAGCCTTCAGAGGGGAAGGCTCACGGGGAAGTCTTATCAGTGCCTTTAAATACACGATGGGAAGGGCGTAAAGAACACGGAGCCAGACCCTTCTCAGTGGTGCCCAGTGAAAGGGCAAGAAATAACGGGTACAACTGAAATGTAGAAAATTCTGTTTAAAAGTAAGAAACTTTCTGCAAGTGTGATCCAACACTGGAACAGATTGCCCAGGGCAGTTGCAGAGTCTTCATCCTTAGAAATATTCTAATTCTGAATCCAACTGGACAAGGCCTGGGGCAACAGGGTCTAGCTGGCCCTGCTTTGAAAAGGACGGTTGGACTAGATGACCTCCAGAGATCCTTTCCAACCTCAACAATTCTGCAACTCTGAAGTACTTCAACAATCTCAAAGCAGAAACTGAAGCAAACATACACCTTTTACAGTGTCAAGAATCTGCTGAATCAGACCAAAAGGACAGGGACATGAAACTAGAAACACCCTGGCCCTAGAATCCCAAGAATAATGACAGAGGGGACAGATAGAACAAAGAGGAAAATATTTCAAGAACCTGAGCAAAACTAGGTTTGAAAGAAGCCAGCTCACTATTTCCTGATATCATAGGCAATCTATAACTGCCCACAACTTGCATGAAAGCACACAAGGGACAGCTCAGTTTTAACTAATAGCTTAATCATCAGCTCTTAGGAGCATTTTCCTGGAGATGTTGATGTCAAAAACACCCGAATCTTAGTTCCCCAATAAGTAAGACAAAACTTAACAATGTTATAAGCTCAAGTCTTTTCCTTGCTCAGGGGCACATACTATCACCTGAGGTTCGTTTCACCTCACTTAATCATTACCTTTCTCACCCAATAATTTAAAAACACGTTAGACAGGCAATCTCCACTCTTCACAGGCAGGTTTATCACCTACTGCTCACTCCCTGAATAGCACCGAGTCTGTCAGAGAAACAGGATTTTCTTTCCCCATCTACTATAACAGATGCATTAGATAAAATACTACAGACTAGTTAGGTAACATACAGTCTCCCTGCATGTTCACCCTCTAGTACGTTTAAGCACACATTTATTAATATTGGGTAAAATTACTGGAAACATATTTAGTTTTTTTCTATTCTCTAGAGCATATTACAGAAGATTACAAGTACAGTCAGATTTGTTCTAGTAATTCAAAATCAAGACCACTAAACAAGCCTAGATATGTCACTCTTCTATTTCTTCAGATTTAGACACTAGTTGACAGACACACCACCTAGGTGAAGGTGAAGTTTCTATTGTAAGAACAGGAAGTTAAATAGCCTAAAAATCTGTAGATATCCCACTGGATTAAGCATCAGAAACGTCAAACACTACTTGAGTGAGATGTTTGACACTCTCCCTTTGACTTATCCTTTCGTCTCAGTGTAGTACGGAAGGGCTTGCACATCCTGAAACGTGTATCGAACACTGAATCTTTTCCTACCCTCTCTCCTACCCACACTTCTGATATGGCAGGTAAGTACTTTTATGATTGAATGAAATTCAGTGCATGCTACATGAAGGTTGACCTTCAGAGGTTTCTAGACTAACAGCACAGCGCAAGTGATCTACGCTTCTGATTTGATCATTTTCTCATTAAAAAGTTGCTCCATTTAGTTGGCTCATACCTGATTACTGGCGGCCATTATCAAGGTTCTCGTAGGCGCAGATTGGGGTTTACCACTTGGCATAGGCAATGCGGGTGGTAAACTGGCCATAAGCTGAGTCGGTGCTTGCAGACTGAACTGGTAAACATTAGAAGCTGTGCAAGGTGGTGTATCAGAATCCTTTTGGCAGAGAAAAAGGGGAAAAGAAAAGCAGCTTTACAGAAAGTACAGTATATACAGACTATGCATTTGAAAACGCACCCAATACCAACTCGTGTGAATACTATAGAGTCTAAATTGTTATTTCAATGGTTAAAAAAAAATAAAATACAAGCCAGCACTAAGTTTTTCATACATCTAGCAAAAATGTAGTTGAACCTGCACAGAGGAGACAATTTAAACAGGTCTATGTTGATCACAGATCAGTTTCCAGTCAGCTCAAACTAAAGCCAGATACATAAAATTGTTTCTCTACCAAATTAAAATTAAAAGGTGGGAACTATGGGTGCAGAAAAAAGGAACAACAGCAACACTGTTAGCTATATAAGGACTCGCATTTTAGGTGTCATTACAGTATCAGTCCTCTGAACAGTGTTCTGGATTGTACTTATCTGTACGCCAGAGTTACTCACTGTAACTGTTATAGTCTTCTCCCATTCTACCCAGCAACAGCAAAGTTAGGGCTCCACCTACCAAGAAACAAGGAGATTGTCTGCCAGTCAAGACTAGTATATAAGCACCAATTACCCACTTCCCTGCTAGTTAAGACTTCTGTTCTTAGCACTTTACACTGAGTGATAATTTATCAGGGGGAGCAAGAACGACACAGGATTACAGAAAGTAGTACTGTAATGGAATTCATATTACGAATTTGTTTTCCATATTCTTCCTCCCAGCCTGACCAACAGCAACGCACCACAAGCGACAAGTCACATTGGTGACATTAACACTGCGATGCCTGGAGCACTTAAGACAATAAACAAGGAAGCTAGCACAGATCCAGGGGTTTATAGGAATTACTGAAGTCTAAAAACAACCAACTCACTGCCTCAATTCTTAAAGGTACAATTCTTTAAGTCAAAATAGTTGCTAAACAAGTTACAGCCTTTTAAAACAACTTTCAACACAGACCTCGTAGAATTCAACTTATTTTTAAATCATAATACAGTGGCAACAGAAAGGCAGGTTTCTCTACACTTTACAGGTGCTTTTTTCCCCCCTCCTTAATCCTTAATTCCAAAAATACTCTAAACTTAAAACTAACAGGAAAAAAACCCAAAATCTATTCTCTATCTGAAACCTATCCCAAGCCTTTTTCTCCTTTCCCATTTATCTGTCTCAAGAAACAGCAAGAGATGGGGCTTGGCCAACATGTTTAAGACAGATCAGCCCACCAACTACTGGTAAGTCAGGAGTTACCAAATTAAAAGACATTTTTGCTCAGATCAATGATCTTCACTATTGAGTAATCACTGAAATAGTCTACTGCTCTCTCTTTAAAGATTACTTGCCTGCAAGTAAAAAACCTTCACTCAAATCAAGCAAACTTTAATGAATGGGATAAAATATTTTGAAGTGTTTTTCTTGGGCAAGGAGAAGGGAGATTGACCAGACAGCCTAAGCAATGAATCACTAGGAAGCAAAACTTCCACTCCAACCAAATTAGATTCCCACAACAGAAACAGCCCTCAATAAACTCGTCAATTCTAAAATAATCATTTCTTTATTGGTCTGTATAAACTTGTGCTCACTAAATACTAAGTTATAGAATGAAAGGCAACAAGGAGCATCATTTATCCTCTCTAAACTAGTGGGAAGAGTTCACAGTATGCCTTTGTGAAGCTTTTTCAGCTATTTGCAGTAATAATTCACTAAAAACAGGCCATACTGGTAAGAGAAGACAAACTATGCAGGACCTTAAGTTATTTATAGCAATAAACTTCTGATCTGGTGAATATGTTCCATAAGGCACTATATGTTGCAGTAGCGATCAAACGACCACGCTTAGGCTGTAGGTACACCCAAAGCAGCCTACTTGGATAAGGTAGCAGTTTTCTCCTTTGCCTCATCCCACAAATTAGCAGCGGAAAGACTAAGGTCTCTATGAAGACGAAGCTGTTACATTCCAATATTCATTAGGTGGCAGAAGTCAGATACAGGCAAGAACCTAGTTCTAAAATCAGATTTCTTTAGACAGTATTGGTCATGCAATTGTAAGAGAAGTTATAAAACAGAAGATGAAATAAATTTAGGCAGTCATCTGTTTGAGGAAATGACTCAACAGACAGGAAGGAAAAGAGACCTTAATGTCTATCCAAATCTGCACATTATGATGCAACCTCCACAAACCCGACCAAACGATAGTTTTGGTCTTTCCTCGCACTCCTCTTTCTTTTGCTTAGATAGGATTAGACCCGCTGAAGATTCACATAGCTATCCAGATGAAACACTTCCTATTTAAAACATTTCCAAATTCTCCGTGCAGCAAACAGTCAACTGCTTAAGTCATGGTGGCAGACGGGAAAGCGATTCACGTAGTTTTACTGAGGCTAGATAAACCTTAGCACAACGAATCTTGTGTTGCTTCATTATAATTTTGCAATAGGTATGTTCATCTTTTGCCTCAATGCTAATTTCCTGAGGCATGTCTCAGAGTAGATTGTACCCCTTCTTAGAGGTAATCCTGGACTGCTAATGCTATTACTGTATGAAGATGACTGATTGACTTCTCGTCAGCATCAAAACCCACTTCTTAAGGACCTTTCTTCCTCAAACAGAAAGATTAACCTCAGTGACCAGAAAACGGAGTCCAGCCCAAACAGGCAAGATTGCCACTCTTACCACTTTTGCTTTTTCTCCCACTCTTGCCTTCCCTGTTGTACCAGTGGTAGCATTTGAGAGTATGACGAGCTAATTCATGGCACTAAACCACAGAAATCTTTTTTTGTCAGTTAACTTCTGAATCAGCTTATCATAGGGTTAGGTGAACGTCGTTGCAGAACAGCAGGAGCAGAATCATCCCTAGCAAGAATATGCAATGGGATTGGTGTAGTAGCAGTGTAAAACCACACCTCTCAGTAAGAGGAAAGCTTTGCACATTTCCTAGAAGTTCAGTGCCATGCACAGGAGTAGAACCCTCAACGTATACTCCCACGTGAATGGTTTTAGCTCAAGCAGCATTGAATACCCTGACAAATACACGTTCTTCCAAGGTGATGTTGTGGATTCCACACACACAGCCCATTTCATTCGCATCAGTTTGTATCGTTTTACCTTTTGGTAGGTGGAGCCATAACTTTAATAATTAGTGTAGCAGAGTGGAAAGAAGATTAATAAAATTTCCCTGTGGCAGGTCACAGGAGAATGAATTTGATAGGCATCAATACAGTTGTACCATTTCAATTTGCTAGCTTATAAACAATACACAAGCCTTGAACTATATACAGTTGGTTGGGTTTTTGCGCCTGAAGGTAAGTTACTTTTACAAAAGAAAAATACCTTGGTCACTGTGCTTACAGGAGGAGAAAAAAAAAAGTTAGATAAGCAAGCAGGCAGACTGAAAAGTATCCATCTTCCAGAAGTATTAGCGTTTGTTTTACAGAAAGACAACTAAAAAGGTAATCTAATTAGCACCTACCACAATTTAATACAAGCAAAGTGCCCCTTTAATGTCATCACATTATCTTCTGCCAGGCCAAACCGTGGGCTTTTAGTTGTTTTATCAATGTATTTTAGACAAACTACCTTAAATACAAAAAAATCCAAGAAGTGTTTCTTTTCAGATCTCTTCCGTTATCCCAAATCCTTTCATTTTGTAGGGTTTTAGACTGGCCTGTACTGTTGAGAGTACTGTAACATTTGAAATTGTACAAACCTTTTTCAAATGCCGTACTAAATCACAGGAATCCATAATACGCAATCTGAACACATACCATATTAACAATATAAGCATTCACTTTAGGGTTTCTTCCATCCTAAAATGGTTTTAACACATCCACTCCCTAAAACAGCGTATCTTAAGATATGGCAAATGTAGAACTAGGAAGTGGCATCAGAAAGAAGCGAGCTCAGTTTTGGGTGGGAAGTAGCATATGCTTCTCTCCTTACACCTCACTGACAGCACAGTAATCAAACCTAACTTTACTTGCCGATTCACACATTCCCTCTATATTCTCTTCTGCTTAGAACCACTGGTTAGTAAATAAAATGTCTTCAGAATTTTGGGTTCTAAATTGTGTCTCCTATACCTTTGAAAAAGTACTCTTACTTCAAGTAGATATAGTAATAAACTGCTCATACAGCTGACTGACAGAAAAACTGAAGGGGAGCATAAGACTACAAAACAGCACAGAATAGGGCTTAAAATAACAAGAACAAGATGTGGGACTATATGGTGATAAAGGAAAATAAATAGGTAAGAGTTGCACCGAAAAAGTCTGCTCCCCTCTGATCCAGAAAAGGTGCGAGTAATCTGCATAACAAAAATAGAGAAAGGAAACAAGTTTTAAAGGATTTGGGGGTTAAATTCTTAAACGCCCCAAAATAAAAGTCAAGTTTTTTTTCCAAGTCCAGTTTGGTAGTTTCAGATTATTTGCGTTCAGAGTTACTCATAGCTTTATTTGGAGACAATCTGGCTGCAAGTCAGCACTTGCATCTTTCTTTAAGGAATGCGAGATCCACTTCTTAGAGCACTTGCCTCCCTTGATTTGTTCAGGGATGGGAAAGGAGAATAAGATATAGAAGCTGCATTCATCTTCTACCATACACATTTTGAATGGTTGCTTTGGTTAGGACATGTGAATATTCAGACAAGTGGAAAGAAAGACAGACAAGCTTATTTGTGTAGCTCTTGCTATCAGACTGCCCCCGAGAATTTTGCTGTGCCATCCCCTTCTCCCCCCATCCCTCCCCCTAAAAAACATTTTAATCTAGAATTGTACAAATTAATTGCAGTCATTAAACAGATTTAACAAAATTACAAGATGAGCTGTTACAGTAATTGCTCTGAAACGTTGTCACTGTTTGCCCTCTACTGCGGGTAAGTAAATACCTTACGCTTGCAAATTTAATCCCTTAAGAAGTAACATTTATCAGAACAGGATATGTCTTATGCTTCCCACTGTGCACAGGGAAGTACAATAGCTTTACTAATAAGCCAGATTTCACAATTTTTGGCTAAT